AAAAAAAAAAAGGAAGGAAGGAAAGAAGGGAGGGAGGGAGGGAGGGAGGGAAAGAAAAAAGTGAGAAAAGGAAAAATGGAAACCAAGCTTTTGTAAATAAGGAGGGGAAGAGAGGTGGAAGAGAAGGGAGAGAAATGGGATAAAGTAATCAAGATGCATTAAGTACATTACAAATCCCTAGGGTGGATGTGCTCATTATGCATACGTAAGCTGTACCAATAAACTTAATAAAGTTCAAAGAATTAGAAAAACAAGAAAATTTTTAAAAATGTTATTACTTAAACAATTCCTTAAACAAATATCTATTCTGGTCAAAATGTAGTTTTATTAGGGATTTGGCTTACTGATGAGCTGTGCCTGCTGAATTGGCTTGCTTTTATAATTTTATGAAAAAATAAGTTGTTTAACCCTAAACCGGACTAAAAAAATGTAAGCTTTTGAACATCAATCATCGATACATCTTTAATCTGCAGCTACATGGGGTCAGATTTTGCCTCAGGCAGAGGAAATAAAGATGAAACAGCTGGGCATGGTGGCGCATGCCTGTAATCCCAGCACTCGGGAGGCTGAGGCAGGAGGATTGCTGTGAGTTCAAGACCAGCCTGGGCTACATAGTGAGTTCCAGGTCAATCTCAACTATATAGTGAGACCCTGTCTCAAAAAAAAAAAAAAAGAGATGAAACAAAATTAAGTTCCAGAGCTTCCAGTGTCATGGGGGAAGAGGCCACCAGAGCTGATAAGACCTTGGTTCCAGACACAGCCTGGGTACAACAGGAGCCATGTAAGTGTGAGTGAGTCAACTCACCTCCCAGCTTCAGTTATTTAACCTGTAAAGTTGGGCTCCCCTTGCCCACCCTCTAGTGTTATTGCTGTACAGGATCGAATGTAAATAGGGTAGGGTGCAAAGGTTAGAGCTCAGTGGAACAGCGTATGATGGCATAAGAAAAGCTTTGGGTTCACTCGGTGGCACTGAAACAAAGTGTGTGCAAGTTCTTTGAAAACAGTATTCCAATACAAGTTTTTATAATAAATCAGTGTTGAAGTGGGTGTGCTGGCACATGCCTGTGATCCCAGCACCTGGGTGGCTGGGGCAGGAGGATCACTGAGTGTTGGACGCAAGCCTGGACAACATGGTGAGTTCAAGGCCAGCCTGAAATACATAGTGAGATCCTGTCTCCCAAAAAAAAGTGTAATGCAGGGCTCCATGAAACTGTCATTTTAAGGAGCTTGAAGTCTACGAAGATCAAGGGTCACTTTAAATACAGACAATCAGGCTCCATTTTTTCTATTCCCTTTTTTTTGTGTGTGTGTGGTACTGGGGATTGAACTCAGGCCTTTGTGCTTGTGAGGCAGGCAGTGGAACTACTGAGCCAAATCCCTGTCCCATTGTTTTTTCTATTCTTTGCCTCCACCTAGAGGTAAATGCACCACCAAAATAAAGCTAGTCGGCTGTGGGCCAGTATTCACTCACATGGAATGCAATTCTTGGAGTCCTTACGATTTGGGGAAAATCGCACAGGACACTGCGCAAAAAAATCAGGGAAATGAAAAGTGATTGATGACTCATTATGCCCAAAGTGGACACCCTGAAATACATTCTCACTTTTCAATTTCAAGAAACACACTTCCACACTCTGAAGAGTCTGGAGGGAAACTGATCGTCTCCTTTTCTCAAGTGATACAATTAGAAATTAGTTCCCATACTTTGGAGTTCACCCAGCAGATCTGCCAATAGGAGGAAACAGGAAGTGGGAGATTGGAGTTTAGCTGGACCACGTCCAGGTCTTCATTAAGAAATGCCCATCTCTCTCTGGCTTACATGGGAAAATTCTCTAAGCAGGAGCATTTATTCTGAACTTGTGGAAATCCCAGAGCCACAGCTAGCCCCATCTGTCCCCGGAGGTTTAAAGCCAGCAAAGAGTTGTCAGTCGCAGCCGCCTAAGCCTTTAGCTTCCTTAACCGGCACTCCTGTAAACCCAGACCACTGATTCACTTCCACTTGGCATAAATTAGCTTTTCCTCTACGTCGATAGTCAGCCTAAGCAATTACCTCCGATGAGGCAAACCTGGGAACCCGAGCTTTGATAACGGGCTACAGCGGGGGCCCGAACGAGCTCTCCAGGCTTTAAAATGTGCGACCTGAAAGCTGTGTTTTTCACAGAAAGGTACACGTACGACAGAGGCGATTTCTTCGGTAAGAGGGGGATTCCCAGCGAGGAGGAGGATGGGAAAGGGAAGATCTGCGGGCACTGCCCTTTCTCCCCTCCACACTCAATCCTCGCCGTCCACTTTTCCTCCTACTCTACGTACCCAAGACTGTGTCACCACACCCGAGGACTCTCGTTCTCTTTGCCTAAGGAAATCTCGGCCACTCTCGGCGATCAGAGCCCAGACTCTCCATACCCCTGTCCCTCAGGTCACAGTGGTTCTCTAGGCGGCCACTGCAGAGGTCGCTACCCCTGAACACGGAAAAGTCACAGCACTTTGCAGGACACCCCCCCCCCAGAACTTCTCCCAGCTTTCCAGGAGTGACGTGACCTCACCCCCCAGGTAACCGCAGCCACTTTCTTACCCGCTTTCCGCCCCCGGGGAGCGCCTGCCACAGCCCCGGGCCCAGAAAATCCGCCGCCTGCTCAACGGCTACCCCTGCGGGGCGCATCTAACATGGCGGAGAGAGACAGGGCCCAGTACCTTGTTGCTTCTGAGTTCCTCACAAGCCGATTGGCTCCTACGGCTTGTCCTTCAAAA